CAGCTGAAGGCTATCTCGCTTATTATAAGTTGATCAAACGTTACCAAATTTCACACATATAACAAGCATAATAAGGACTCATAAAATCCGCAATTAATCAAGTTTGAGGGGGAAAAATCGTTTCCATGGATACGGCGACCACATTGGATTTTGTTGACATGTCTCACGTTATTAATACCGTACTTATTTCCCATTGAAATAGATTGGGGGTTTTTTAACGCATCTTGGAAAACAATAGATTTACAACCATTTGTTATGATTTTTTCCTAAACATACTGGAAAATGCTTTATGAATTTTTTCCTGATGTAATATTCACGTTTGCAAAGAGTCCGTGAAAATCCACACACCAAACACCACCAACAAAAAACTATTCTATACATCAAAAATTCATCACACAAACGTTTAGTATTACATCTTTTCTTCATTCTGTGAAAATTCCTGAAGGTTGGATGAAAAATGGTGCAGTTATTTTAAAAAGTATAAAGAAAAACCACTTTCCCAGAAAACGGGCGATGAAGAAAAATGAAAGATTGACTTTATGAGGAAATGGTGGGGACAAACATGCCTGGTATGGAAAGAAATAAGGTGTTATGGGGCTCTTGTGCGATGAAATAGTTGTAAGAGAAGTTGAAGAAGCTAAAAATGCCCACAATTTAAAATCCATAGTTTGACTTTCAGGGTGTAGCACGCTCTCCCCTTTAAAAACTTGTTACGGAAAACAAAACAAAATATGAATTCTTTAATGGATTTTAGGGTTTTTGAAGCTTGTAAAAATTATGCAGTTTTACTTAGAAGTGATATGTGAGGCAGCGTGGTGGAATCAGGCTCTCGTCAAAATAATCAAAGTGAAGAAACTTGCATTTTTCAGCAGGTTTATGAATTTTAATCAAATTTTGTTTTTTGGCTCAACACCTTTCATGCCCATTAAATAACCCTTTTCTGTTTGAATTTTTCTGAAAAGCGTTGATTAAAGGCACAAAAAATGTAAATTTTCAGTAACCACGGACTCTTAAGCTAGGGAAATAATTAATCTTTTGCGGCCATTTTCTCACTTATTTTACCTCTGAAAACAGGTGACCTCTATCTCCTTCTTTAGCAAATATCTCAACTTGTGTTCAAGATAAATGGATATTTTTTTCATCCATATAAAGACAAGTGAACAAGCTTTAAGATGAAACCAATAACTCTACATGCCCAAAAATTGACGAGAGCCTGATTCCACCACGCTGCCTCACATACGTAGCTCGAATATTTGTCCGTTTCTTTCACCTTAATTCCTTTCTTCCAGCCTTTTCGAAGGCAAAATTTCAATGTCCACTCTTTCAAGTGGGACAAATCGTTTCAAACTGGTAAACTTTTTGTCAACAAAATTTTGTCTCCTTTGCTTTGATATTATTTTACTTTAAAAGCTGATGATCAGGTTGGGGGATGTGGCTGGTTGGTGGGTGGGTGAACTGGTGTGGTTCGCTCCTTCCTTCATATCAAACTTCCATCGTCCTTATCTCTTCTCCTTCTTCTCTCTGTATGTTACCCACTTGTAACAACTCCCCTAATCTTCGGCACTTGTGTGACCTATTTGTCTTGTAAGTGCCGTAAAACTCTTTTTCTAAAAGATCATGGAGCATGATTTGTGAGGCATTGGGGTTAAACCAGGCGCTCGTCAAAATGATGAAATCGGAGAAAATGGCATGTTTTCACAAGTTTGGCAATTTTTATAGAAATTTTGTTTTTTGGCTAAACACCTTTTATGTCTGTATGAAAATACATTTCCATGTGAATTTTACTGAAAACCCTTGTTTAAAGGCACACAATATGTGATTTTCAGTTCTCAAGGAATCTTAAGCTATTGAAGTTGCCAAATTTTGGCTGCCATTTTCTCATTAATTTGACCTCTGAAACCAGGCTACCCCACCTTCTTCAATCGCAAAAATCCTGACCTCTATTTAAGCTAGATGGATAATGTTTTCATTCAAAGCAAGGCAAATGAATAAGCTTTCAGGTGATATCAATAGCTCCACATGCCCAAAAATTGACGAGCGCCTGATTCCACCACGTCGTGCCACATTCAGTTACTGTATGACGAATTCCTTGTGTTACCTTTGCACTCAATGACTTTTTTCTCATTTGATTATAAATTCCTCATTTTTTGTCGAAATTTGCACACCTAACATTTTCTGTCCCACTTTCAGTCAAAATATTTGAGATTTATTTTGTTGTAAATTTGTGACATTGTGATTTCAGTACAAAAGGACTTCTGAGACTGAGTAGTGGAAACCTGGCAAGTAAGTGGTGACAACAAATGTTTGGTTAATAAGAAGCATGCTATTACTTTTATTAGACCTTGTTCTATATTTAGCATCTAAAGAATGTTTCTTGTCACCCTCATGCCTAAGTCATTTTTAACCATCTTGAGAAAATGAGAAAAGAAAACCTGTTTCTTTCAAATAATTGAGTCTTCGAGAAAGCTTGAATTTTAGTACACTAAACTGATTTTATATTTGGATTATTCTTTGGTCCTAGTGAACTACATCCAATAATGATCTATGAGCGTAACGCTCTAATATCTCTAATATAATATACTAGCTGGGTCCCCTTTCGATGAAAGGGATGATCGGTGCTTTAATATAAGCTAAAAGTCATTGCCCTACTATATTTACACTCTACTGGAATGGGGTAATAAATCTTGAGAGCTGCAAAAAAATTAGGTCTAGATCTATACTCTCAAAACAAAATGCGCCTCGCGAAATATCACTTCCGGATTTTCTAAAATTACAGAAACAGAAGCGTCGGCCTACAAAAGCGATCGGCGAAATAAGGAAATTTAGCTTTTTTCAGCAAAACTGTCTCAAAACTGGAAAAAATCAAAGGCTCCATGCTCTGGAGAATATTTTAAAGAGTTTTTTGGCGAAAACTGCATGTCGATCGATGCAGCCATTAAAAAGCCTTTTGAATAGCAAAATTCGGCCACCACAAATAGATAATAGATCAAGATCTATGAGCGTAACGCTCGAATATCTCTAATATATATATACCACATTTTGTACACAGGGTGTAAAAACAACGTTTGGAGAAAAACGGCTTAAACCTTACTACGTTGACCCAATTTTCAGCGCATTTTAATCCTTCGGTGAAGTACATGTTGCAACAATAATTATTGAAAAAGATAGTAAGACTTAAAATGTTATAGAATCCTTCCTATATGTCATTAAGAATTGGTTAAGCACGTGTTTTCTGATGGAACTTGTTGCTCAAAAACAGCTTTGCTGACCACTGGGACCTTTTTGTCCACACACACACACACACAC